CGTTTAGATCCAGTAGCTATGAGTTTTAGGTCTCCTGAGAAGACCAAAGTTCCATCGCTGTTAATAACAACTAATAAAAGGTGCAGTCTCCTAGCACCTATCAGGCAGATCTATGCCTCCACCAAGGCTTTATCAATTCCAACACTAGAAAGAAAGGAGAGCTGCTCTTCCCACCAAAGCCTTTGGGGCAAGATCGCAGCAAAACTCTGAGCATCTGGAATTCCAAGATGGTGGCGGATTAACTGGAGGCTACATTGACATTCTCCCGGGACCAAACTGGAATTACAATTAAAATATAGAAAAATCATCCTGAACAACCAACTGAAGGCTAGCTGGAGAAAACCCTTATAACCAAGGATGTAAAGTGGAGACCTGATAGGGAGTGCAAAGGCAAGAGAGGCATGGCCGGGCTCCCACAGCTGAAGTTCTGGAGGAATATCTCAGCTGGGGCAGGTTCCCACCCATACTTTGGGCAGAAAACATGATTCAGGAATATATATTCTGTCTACAAGAGACCCACCTTAGAACAAAAGACTCACACAGGATGAGAGTAAATGGATAGGAAAAAATTTTCAGTGCAAATGGAAACAAAAAGGCTGGGGTAGCAATACTCTTATCTGACAGAATAGACTTAAAAATGAAGGCCATCACATCAGATAATAAAGGTCACTACATAATACTAAGGGGATTGGTACAATAAGAAGACATAAACCTGGTAAACCTATATGCATTAAACAGAAGCACCTAAAAATGTGTGTACATATACATATACATACACATATACATATACATACACATATACATATACATACACGTATACGTATGCATATACATATACATATACATATACATATACATATACATATACATAACCACCTGGAGTACTTTAAGGAACAGATTGACAACAATGCAGCCATAGTAGGGGACTTTAACAACCCACTGATTTCCTGGTTAGATCTTCCAGACAAAAAATCAACAAGGAAATAGTGACTCTAAATGACACATTATATCATATGGATTTAATTGACATTAACAGAAAATTTCACCCCAAAGCTATACCACATGTTAGGACACAAAACAAGTCTCTACAAGTTCAAGAAGATGGAAATCATATCAAGCATCTTCTCAGATCACAGGTGCATGAAATTAGAAATCAACTCAAAAATATTCAAACACATGGAAGCTAAATCGCATGTTATTAAACAATGAATGGATTACCAGTGAGATAAGGGAGAAACAAAAAACTTCCTGGAAATAAATAAAAATAAACACAAACAACCCAAAATCCATGAGACACAGTGAAAGAAGTCATGAGAGGGCAATTCATAGCACTACAAGCCTACCTCATAAAATAAGAAAAATTTTCAATAAACTGTCTGACACCACAACTTAAAGAATTAAGAAAAAAATAATAAGAAAAGCCCAGAGGGCATAGAAGGAAGGAAATGATAAATATCAGAGTGGAAATAAATGATACAAGAGATTTAAAAAAAACATACAAAATATCAATGATACCAAGAGCTGGTTCTTTGAAAGAATAAACAAGATTAATGAACCTTTAGCCTGACTCATCAAGAAACACAGAGGATCTAAGTCAATAAATTTAGCAATGAAAGAGGTGAAATAACAACTTACACCTCAGAAATACAAAGAATTGTAAGAAAATACAAGGAGAGGGAGAGAGAAATAGAAACATCAATGATGAGAATCTCTGATTGCCAACTCCCAAATACCCACCTCTGGGGATTGAGCCCACAAACTGGGCATGTGCCCTTAACCAGAATTGAACCTGGGACCCTTCAGTCCACATGCCAATGCTCTATGCACTGAGCCAAACCAGCTAGGGCCCGTTTTTATAAAAACTCTCAGCAAGTTGGAATAGAGGGATTATACTTCAACATAATCAAGGCTATATATTACAAACCTATAGCAAACATCATACTCAATGGACAGAAACTAAATCCATTTCCCCTAAGAACAGAAAAAAGATGGGGATGTCTGCTTTCACCACTCCTATTTGACATAGTACTGGATATCTTAGCCACAGTGATCAAAAAAGAAGAAAGAGTAAAAGGCATCCAAATTGGAAAGGAGAAACTAAAACAATCATTTTTCACAGATGACATGATTTTATACATAGAAAACACTAAAGACTCCATTAAAAAAAACTATAGGATTTAATAAATGAATGCAACAACATAGCAGAATACAAAGTCAACACCCAGAAATCAATGCCATTTTTATACACCAACTAGAGGCCCTGTGCATGAAATTCTTACACAGGGGTGTGTGTCCCTCACAGCCTGCACCCTCTCCTATCTGGGACCCCTCAAGGGATGTCTGACTGCCCTACCGGGATCGGCCCTAAACAGGCAGCCAGACATCCCTCTCACAATCCAGGACTGCTGGCTCCCAATTGCTCACCTGCCTGCCTTCCTGATTGCCCCTAACTGTTTCTGCCTGCCAGCCTGATCACCCTCTAACCACTCCCCTGACAGCCTGGTTGATGCCTAACTGCTCCCCTGCCAGCCTGTTTGCCCCTAACTGCCCATCCCTGCCAGCCTGGTCAACCCTAACTGCCCTCCTCTGCAGGCCTGGTACCCCCAACTTCCCTCCCCTGCAGGCCTGGTCACCACCAACTTCCCTCCCCTGCAGGCCTGGTCACCCCCAACTTCTCTCTCCTGCAGCCTTGGTTCCCCCACCCCCAACTGCTCTCCCCTGAAGCCCTGAGTCCCGCCCCCCCCACCCTTCCCTCCTCTGCCGGCTTGGTCATCCCTAACTTCCCTCCCCTGCAGGCTTGATTGCCCCCAACTGCCCTCCCTTGCAGGCTTGGTACCCCCCAACTGCTCTACCCTACAGGCTTGAGTCACCCCCAACTTCCCTCCCCAACAGGCCTGGTCATCCCCAACTTCTCTCTCCTGCAGCTTTGGCCCCCTCCACCTGCTCTCCCCTGCAGGCCTGAGTCCCCCCCAACTGCCCTTCCCTGCAGGTCTGGTCGCCACCAACTCCCCTCTTCCTGCTGGCCTGGTCACCCCTAACTTCCCTCCCTTGCAGGCTTGATAACCCCCAACTGTCCTCCCTTGCAGGCCTGGTCCCTCCCAACTTCCCTCCCCTGCTGATCATCTTGTGGCGGCCACCTTGTGTGTTGCAGTGATGGTCAATTTGCATATTACTCTTTTATTAGATAGGATAATGAACTCTCAGAAAGAGAAACAAAAAAATCAATCCCATTTATCACTGCAACAAAAAACAAGATACTTAGGAATAAACTTAACCAAGGAGGTAAAAGACCTGTACTCAGAAAACTACAGGACATTGAAAAGAGATAGAGGAAGATATAAATAAGTAGAATATACCATGTTCATGAATTGGTAGAATCAACATAATTAAAAAGTCCATATTACCTACAATCTTTAGATTCAATACAATCCCTATTAAAATACCAACAGCATATTTCATACATCTAGAACAAGCACTACAAAAATTTATATGGAATCCCAAAAGACTGAATAGCTTCAGCAATCTTGAGAAAGAACAAAGTTGGAGGAATCACAATACTGGATACTACAAAGTCAGTGTACTCCAAACAGCCTGGTATTGACACACAAACAGGCAGATAGATCAATGGAAGAGAACAGAAATCCCAGAAATTGACCCAAGGCATTATGCTCAATTAATATTTGATAAAGGAGGCAAAAGCATACAATGGAGTAAAGACAATATTTTCAACAAATGGTGTTGAGAAAATTGGACAGATACATGCAAAAAAATGTATGCACCATACACAAGAATAAACTAAAAGTGGATGAAAGACTCAAATGTAAGTCAATAAATTTTAGAAAAAAAACTTAGGCAGTAAAATCTCAGATATCTTTCATAAAAAACTTTTTATTAATACATCTCTAGGCCCTAGGACCTTGGGCAAAAGAAACTAGGGAGAAAATAAACAAATGAGACTACATCAAAATAAAAAGCTTTTGCACAGCAAAAGAAACCATAAACAAAACAATAAGAAAACCCACTGCATGAGAGAACATATTTAACAATGATACATCCGATATGGGGTTAATTTCCAAAATATATAAGGAATTTATACAACTTAACAAAAAGAAGACAATCCAATTAAAAAATGGGCAAAGGATCTAAATACTAGTAGACACTTCTCCAAAGGGGACATACAGAAGGCCAAGAGACATATGAAAAAGTGCTCAAAGTCACTAATCATCAGAGAGATGCACACACGCATCAGAATGGCTATCATCAACACATCAATACATCCAAGTTCTGGTGAGGATGTGGAGAAAAGGGAACCAAGTACACTGCTGATGGGAATGCAGACTGGTACAACCATTATGGAAAACAAAATGGAGTTTCCTCAAAAATTTAAATATGGAACTGCCATTTGACCCAGTGGTCTCATTTCCAGGAGTTATCCTAAGAATCCTAAATCCAATAAGAAAGAATGTATGCACCCCTATGTTCATAGCAGCACAAATTATAATAGCTAAGATCTGGAAATAGCCCAAGTGCCCATCAGTATATGAGTGGATAAAAAAGCTGTGGTACATTTACATCATGGAATACTATGCAGCAGTAAAAAAGGATCTCTTACCCTTTGAGACAGCATGGAAGGACCTGGAGAGTATCATGCTAAGTGAAATAAGTCAGCCAGAGAAAGACAAGTGTCATATGATCTCACTCATATGTGGAATCTAATGAACAAAATAAACTGATGAACAAAATAGATCCAGAGACATAGAAGCCTGAAACATACTGATCAATATCAGAGGGAAGGCAGGGGTGGGTGGGTGGGGAGAGATTAACCAAAGAACCTGTATGCATATATGCATAACCCATGGACACAGACAATAGGGCTGTGAAGGCCTGGGGAGGGTACGTGTAGGGTGGAGGGGGTCAATGGAGGAAAAATGGGGACACCTGGAGTACTTTCAGCAATAAAGAGAAATTAAAAACCAAACAAACCCTGAGCACCCCCATACCTGTCTTGTTCCATCTTTTCCAGCCTCTCCTGTTCCTTCTGTTCCTTCTCCAGCCGGACCTGGCGCCTCTTTTCTGACAGGATCTTTGCAGCCTCGCCTGCATTGATGGTACCTGCACTAGGCTTCCCTGAGGCTGGCCAGAGGGATCAAGGGAAAGGAAATTGATCACTCACTGGCAGCTGCCACTTGAAAGGGAAGATGCTACCTAGTGGTGGATGGGAAATGCTGCAGGACTGGCACAATTAGCCACCAAGCAGAGACGCTGCAGTGGGCAGCTCTGACTGGAATATATTTCACAGTGCAGAGCGGTGGAAAGGCGGGGAGGAGAGACAGGGTCACCAGCAAGTTCCTGCGCCCATGTGGGTGAACTCGCTGCATCCTTCACAGCGGCTTACAGGACTAAGGGAAGAGCCTCTCCGTGGGACATGCTGACGCTGGCCTGATGCAGCAGGACAGGCTGAGGGGCAACATGCAAGCCTGGAAAGCACAGGGTGTGCAGATGTCTACGCGAAGGCCCCTTCCTTCCTCTCTCCCCCAGACACAAGACTCCCACATAGATCGCGGACCAGGTGAGAGGAGAAAGGGCAGGGAAAGCCGAGGCTGGGTGGCATGTGGCGTGGACAAGGAGGGCCTACCTGCGCCGCTCTCGCCCTTCCCTCCTGCAGCCACGGTCTTCTCGAAGGCATACTTCTCCACCAGGCGCTTCTCCGAGGCGTCCACCCGGAGCTGGCCAGCCGCCAGCTGAGCCAGGGCCCCTTCCCGCTCCTTGTTGCTCTTTTCTTTGTCTGCCTTCTTCTTAGGCGTCTCCTGGCTGGGTAAGCGGCACTGCACAGCAGACTCCGGGTATGGCACCTTCACATTCTTCGGAGACAGTGGGGATCCTTTGCCAGTGGCTCTGGAAGACCGAAAACATGCCAGACGGTGATCACTGTGCCTGACCACGGAACTCTCCATTCCTCAGACCGCTGGTTCCAAAAAGTTGAACCATTTAATCTTCTAAGAAGAACAAATGTAAGGCTTACTAGCACAAACTCCCAAGTCCCTGTTGCACTAGTACCCTAACAGGAACATCAACTACCTATAAAATGTCCCAGGTGGAGGTGACAATGTTTTTGGAAGCCACGTTGGTGACACCATGTCCTAACGTCACTTAACTTTGATGGCAATGTCAAGATGGCGTGTCAGGCTTTCTTCCACCACCTCTTTTAGACGGACACCGGAGCTGGATCTGGCATTAGAATATGGCAGCAGACAAGCTTTTGCCATTGTAGCAAAACGTATGTAACAGGAAATTTACCACCTTAACCATTTGTAAGTATACAATTCAGTGACATTGAGTACATTCACACTGGGGTGCAAACCACTACCACCATCCACCCACAGAACTCTGTGCCCATAAACACTAACTCCCCATTCCCCTCTCCCGAGCCCCTGGCAAAATCCTCCCTTCTGCTTTCTGTCTCTAGAAATTTGACTATTCCAGCTAGCTCACAGAAATGAAATCATGCAAGATTGATTCTTTCGTATCTGGCTTATTTTGTTCAGCATAATGTCTTTAAGGTTCTTTTGCTTCCACAAAATTTGGTAATTTCATGCCCCTGCCAATTTCCTAGAAATAAGCATCTTGGCTGATTAAAGAAATTAAACACTAATTATGGGAACTCGCCGTGCTTTCCTAGTTTTATTTTTAAGTACTTTCTCATCTATTTAATAAGGATCTATTTAATCGCCAGGAGAAGCCAGTGAATAGGCAGGAAAGTACTATTAACCATATTTTACGTAAGAAAACCCAAGTCCCAAATGCCTAAATGGTCTTTCCCAAGAGATGGCAACAGATGAGAGAGCCAAGGCTGGCATCCAAGTCACTGATTCTTCATCTTGCTTTTTAACAGTTCTCCCACTTTAATTTTTAAAGGGTCAATACATCCAGTGATTAAAAACCTAACAAAGGGGATTCACAAGTTTTGTTGGGGTGGTAAAGATAGGCTATAACATTGTAAGGTTCCTGATTATAGGAAACATGAACAAACTCCTCTGTAAAGTAGAACGGCAAGAATATCTCTCAGGAGAGGGTTGTTATGCTTCTGAGCATGAGTTGACTGCAAAGCAGAACCCCAAAGGACTTCTTTACTCCATGGGTTGGAATCCAGCTCTATTTTCTCCGAAGCCACTAGACTCCAGGCATGGTGAATACAGCCCACCCACAGGATGGGAGGAGTTGGTGGTCTTCTCAGCACAAGCTTGTCAATAGTCTTTAAAGTCTATGTGGTGTTTTTTTTTTGTTTGTTTTTTGTTTTTAATATGTTGGTTGATTTCAGAGACGGAGAGGGAGAGAGAGATAGAAACATCAATGATGACTGAGAATCACTGATTGGCTGCCTCCTGCACACCCCACACTAGAAATCAAACTGTGACCTCCTGGTTCATATGTCAATGCTCAGCCACTGAGCCATGCCGGCCCGGCTAAAGTCTATGTTTATGGTCACAGTTTATTCCTTTCCAGAGAGGAAAAGAACAAGTTTATACCAGAGAAACTTGCGGATTCCACCTTAACACAGTGATCAAAGTTACCATTACCAGTAGTGTAGCAACCTGACATCCTGGCATCATGTTATGACCACTGAGAAGGAGCCGACATCCTTCCTGGCAGATTCCTGCCCCAAAGGCACAATCGTGAGGAAACAGCAGACTGGCCCGATAGAAAAACAATCCCCAGAAAGAATTGGCCTGTGTCCTTTTAAAATGTCAAGGTCATGAAGAAGAAAGGCTGAAGTGTAGAAGCTAGGGTGGATCCTGGAGCAGGGGAAGTGCTATAAAGGATCTCATTAGGACAAGTGGCAAAAATGGCAAATAGACTGTAAATTACATAACAACATTATATCAAAGTCAAACTTCTGACTTTCAGAATTGTACTGTGGTTATACGAAAGATTTTTTTTTTTCATTCTTAGAGGTAAAAGGTCATGTCGTCTTTAAGTTACTCCAAATGTTACTGGGGAAAATCTATATATGTGTGTGTGTGTGTGTGTGTGTGTGTGTGTGTGTGTGTGTCTCTATGGAAAGTGAATGAGTGAGTAATAGAGATGGGAATGATGAAGCAAATGTGGCTTAAAATTGTACAGGAGTTCTTTGTTCTAGTTTTGCAATTCTTCTGTATGACTAAAATGATTTCACAATAAAAAGCCTTTAAAAACTGGTCCAAACTCAAATTTCTCTCTCAAAAGCCTGAAAAGTACAGGACTCGGAAATGGGTGAGTATATAAGTATGACTGTGAAGAGGGGGTGTATCTTAACATATTCAATTATCCTTTTCAGAAAAATCTCCAGGTAAGAATATAAAAGCCTATTTGAGAATGGTGGTGGCTAAAACAACAATGAAGCCCGGCCAGCATGGCTCAGTGGTTGAGCATTGACCTATGAACCAGGAGGTCACGGTTCAATTCCTGGTCAGGACACATGCCCAGGTTGCAGGCTCAATCCCCAGTGCAGGAGGCAGCCGATCAATGATTCACTCTCGTTATTGATGTTTCTATCTATCTATCTCTCCCTCTCCCTTCCTCTCTGAAATCAATAAAAGTATATTTTTAAAAAAGAGAGCCCATCATTTCTCCAGAAGAGACTCAAAGAGTGAAGGAGGTAAGTCACAGCTCAGCATTCCTCCTCTCAGCTCTTAGGGCTGCCCATGCCCTGTGAGGCACACCCCGCCCTGCACAGAGCCCCGCCCAACTGCGTTAACCTTCTAACTGTGACAAAGGGGAAAGGCGCGCACCTGGATGCCACAGGAGAAGAGGACCTCTTAGAAAGACTTGAGGGAAAATTGTATCTTTTCACAGGAGACCCGGGGCTCGAGTTGGAAAGAGCAGTGGTTACTTGCGACCCCCTCTTCATCTTCTCCATCTGTAGGGGACACAGAATAGGACAGCTGTTTTACCCGCAACTGCAGTTTCTAAAAATACCCCAGGTGGAAGCCATGCACAACTTCCTTTCAGAAGGACACAATGGGAGTGTTTGCAGAGAAGCATCATCAGCTCATTATATTTAGGTGATTTAGTAAAAAATAAATTCAGCCTCAAAATGCAAAGATTTCTTTCTTGTTATCTTGAGAAGAGTTAACAACAGAACCATATAATGGTCCTGGATACAGGGGTGGGCAAAAGTAGGTTAAATTACCAGCCATCATTACCTAAAAGATAAATCATAAGGATATGAAATAATAATAATACAAATAAGGATAATAATAGGTACATAATAAAATACATTGTTTTGCGTACTCAGAATTGTAAACCTCCTTTTGCCCACTCCTGTATATAAAGATTTACAATCATTAGGAAAAGTTTCAAGTGTGATTATAACACAAGATGGTGAGTTATGACTCTGGCCAAGTGACTTAGTTGGTTGGAATGTCTTCTAATATATCAATAGGTTGTGGATTTGATCCCCGGTCAGGGCATAGACAGGAAGCAAACAATCAATATTTCTCTCTCTCTCTCTCTCTCTCGCTCGCGCGCTCTCTCTCTCTCCCAATCCCTGCTCTCTCTCTCTCTCAACATGTCCTCAAGCGAAGATTTAAAAAAAGGGGGGGGGCAGTTCTAGCTGATTTGGCTCAATGGGTAGAACATCGGCCTCCGGACTGAAAGGTCCCATGCACTCAGGAGCCCTAGGGGGATATTTGACTGCCAGCTTAGGTCATGAGCCCAGCTTCTGTGGGAGCGCACTGGCCACCAGGGGGCAGCTCCTACATTGAGCATCTGGTGGTCAGTGTGCATCATAACAATTGGTCATTCTGCTATTTGGTCAATTTGCATATTAGCCTTTTAATATATAGGATATGCATAACCCATGGATACAGACAATAGTGTGGTGAAGGCCTTGGGGGGGGTGAGGACAGGACCAGTGTGGAGGAGGTGAATGGGATAAAAAAAAAAAAGGGACATATGTAAGCTTCCACAATAAAAATCCTTATATATAAAAGGCTAATATGCAAAGTGTCCCCTCAGGAGTTCAACCAGGAGACCAGGAGTTTGATCACTCTCTATAACATGTGCTGTGCTAACCCCTGGCCTCTGGAAAGAGGATGAGGTCTTTGGGAATTTGCTCCAAGGCACTAAGATTTAGGAGGGTCCAAAAAGTTAAATGCTTTTCAAAGGTTGGGTGACATTTGAAGCCACATCTGACCCTGGAGCAGTCCCTGGACGTTGACAGAGAAGCCCAAGTCAGGCGCAGGGAGGAATGGTACAGTCAGCTCAATGGTCCCGAGGGTGAGCATGGGTGTGGACATACCCGGGAGGCCTCCGCTCCTGGAGGGGTCCCTTTGCCGCTATCCACTCTGCTAGCTGCGGATGAGGACTTCTTCTTCTCCATGGTCCGAGTCGGCGAAGACTTGTAAGAGCACTGAGCAGGGCTGCCAGTAGCTATACGAGGGCAGAGGTTAAAGACTAGAGAGTTACAGCAGAGCAGCCAGAGAGGCCACAGCATAGATGGAAACGGTAGGGGTAAGCAAGCAGTTGGGAAGAACACACGTACATTAAAACGTGACACGTGAGCAATGCCGTCTAAAAACCCCATCACGCTTTTTCTCATGTGCAAAGAAGGGACTGTATCGTTGTGGTCGGATCACGAGAACACTCACTTCATATTACACAGTGTTTTACAGAGTATCATACTTTAAAAAGATATTAGCTTATAAGAAATTGTAATAAATAACTTCAAAATGCAATGGGTATCTAACTTTAAAGTGTGCCTTTAACATTTATTTAAAATGTTTTTTTGTACTCATTCAATAGAAACTTATCTGGCCACCGGGTAAACCTAGCAATAAAACTACTGGTCTGCAATGTGTGAAAAGACTCCCACAGCCAGAGTTCAAGAGTCCAGATCACCCTAGCCAGTTTGGCTCATTGGGTCCCAGGTTTGATTCTGATCAAGAGCGCATGCCCAGGTTGTGGGCTAAATCCCCAGTAGGGGGGTGCAGAAGACAACCGATCAATGATTCTCTCTCATCATTGATGTTTCTATCTCTCTCTCTCCTTCCCTCTCTGAAATCAATAAAACTATATATTTTTTAAAAAGAGTCCAGTTCATTTCAGGAGTTCAAAATCCGGGCTTTGCAGCCAGCCAGACAGCACAGTCACCTAATAGCTGGATCACGTTGGACCAGCTTAACCTCTCAAAACATCAACTTCCTCGTGTAGAAAGAGTTAACATAGCAGGCCTGACTACTGTCTCTGGACTTAACTGCTACAGCGTTGGCCCTTGGTCAGCATCTGTGAACTTAGATTTCAGGAATGTTCTCAGCACCAAGTGAAGAGTAGCTCACTGCACCTAAGCTATTTGTACAAACACCATGACTTCTCCTGCTTTCCTTCTAAGAGTCTAGAACCTGGGCATGTGCCTGGCAGGGGGTGCCTACGTGACCGGCTCCCAATAAAAACCCTAGGCACTGAGTCTCTAATGTGATTTCCTGGTAGGCAACATTTCACACATGTCACAACTCCTTGCTGGGAGAATGTGTCCTGGGTCACTATCCTGGGAGAGGTTGCTGGAAGCTCGTACCTACTCTTCCCCAGAATAAGTCATAGCAATGAGTCCGCCTAGACCCGTGGTCGGCAAACTGTGGCTCGCACAAAATACCACAGCCTGGGCGAGTGTGGCTCTTCCACAAAATACCACAGCCTAGGCGAGTCTATTTTGAAGAAGTGGCGTTAGAAGAAGTTTAATTTTTTAAAAATGTGGTTCTCAAAAGAAATTTCAATTATTGTACTGTTGATGTCTGGCTCTGTTGACTAATGAGTTTGCGGACCACTCTCTTAGACCAAGGGTGGGGAACCTTTTTTCTGCCAAGGGCCATTTGGATATTTATAACATCATTCGCAGGCCATACAAAATTATCAACTTAAAAATGAGCCTGCTATGTTTGGTCAAACATTATTAACTCATCCCTAATGCCTTGGCAGGGCCAGAACCAATGATTCGCAGGCTGATGTTCCCCACCCCTGTCCTAGAGAGTCACTGATGCTGGGAGAAGTCTTTGGGACCTCGTGACACATCCCTCTTCCCAAAATTAAAGTATTTTCTGCTTCCCAGGAACTTTTTTATTTCTTTGAGACATAATTCACATACCATAAACTTCACCCTTTTAGTATTTAATGTTTTTAGTATATTCACAAGGTTGTGCAACTGTAACTACAGTCAAATTCCAGAACACTTTCAGTACCCCCAAAGGAACCCTTATACCCATAAAGCATTCATTCTCCTCCCCACTCCCCCATTCCCTAGCAACTACTAATTTACTGTCTCTCTGAATTTACCTATTCTGCACATTTCACATAAATGGAATCATACAACTTGTGGCATTTTGTGTCTGGCTTCTTTGACGGAATATGTTTTCAAGGTTCATCATGTAACATAAATCAGGAATGTGTTCCTTTTTATAGGTGAATAATATTCCACTTTGTGGAGCTATCACAATTGTATTTATCAGTTCATCTGCTGATGAACATTTGGGTTGTTTACACTTTGTGGTTATAATGATAAATGCTGCTAAGAACACTTGTGTACAAATTTTGGTATAACGTATGTTTTCAATTTCCTTGGCTCTATACCTAAGAGTGGAATTGCTGGGCCATATGGTAAGTCTCTGTTTAACTGTTTGAGGAGCTGGGCCACACTGTTTTTCTAAAGTGGCTGTTCCATTTTTTCATTTCCAACAGCCACATATAAAGGTTACAATTTCTCTACATCCTCACCAACACTTCTTTTCCTTTTTTGCTTTGAATTTTAGCCATCCTAGTAAAATGTGAAGTAGTATCCCGTTATTTTATTAGCATTTCCCTAATGATTAATTATGTTGAGCATCTGTCATGCTTATTGACCGTTCATACATCTTCTTTGCAGACATAGCACTGCTCAGAAACAGCGAGAATTAGGTAGAGAGTTATATGTCATTTGCATGCCATCTCACTGATTACACTATCTTGGGAGTTAAGACCAGACCTACCCTAATGTAGACAGCGTGGTTCATGGGCAAACAGAAGATGCCAGCCCTCATTCATCTTGCCATGATGATTTGACCCACTTGTGTCAAAGAAGGACTTTGATGGGATGGCCCAGTGTTTCTCAGACTGCAGTGTGTAGGTTTGGTGGGTCCTGGAGTCTGTGTTCCTAACAAGCTCCCAGGTGATACTGATACTGCAGGCCCATGGATCAAGGCTTGAGTGGCGAAGCTCTAGACTGTTAAACTCTCTCACTGTGCCAATCTCAGTTAACCCTCATGGCAATTTAAAATAACTCCATTTTATGGATGAGGAAACTGAGGCTTAGAGAGGTTAATTAGCTTATCCAAAGTGGTAAGAAACAGTAAGTGGTAGAGTTGTTTATAGGACCCCAAAGACTGGTTTAAAGGCTACTCTGTCAAACCATCTCTTTAGATTAAAAAGTCTATCCTCACAAAAATAAGTCTAACCCACCCGGCTGGCATGGCTCAGCGGTTGAGCATGAACCTATGAAGTAGGAGGTCAGGATTCAATTCCCAGTCAGGCCATATGCCCGAGTTGTGGGCTTGATCCCCAGTAGGGGGCATGCAGGAGCAGTGTATCATTGTTTCTCTCTCATCATTGATGTTTCTCTCTCTTTCCCCTCTCCCTTCCTGTCTGAAATCAATAAAAATATATTTTAGAAAAAAGTCGAACTCCCATTAACCCATGAAATAGAGGGTTTTTTTCCCTAATTCACATGCCTTCGATGACAAAATCATTTAATCACCTTTGTGACATTAAAAAGAAAGAAAGAAAGAAAGAAACATAGCAATAGCAAAACACTGATGGGTAGAAATTTTCCCAAAGCCAGTACAAGCGAAGCAAAATACAAAAATTCAGGAATAACTTATAGGCTAACCAACACCACTTCTGGTATTTTCCTTAGTGTCACCGGCTTGGCCCCTTTTACCTGGATCACCGGACTGCTCAGGGAGTAAGACTGTACTCCTGCTTCTGGATAAAGAAGCCTGTGTGGGCACCAACAGTCGCGAAACAGCTAAGTTCTCGGGCGGAGTACCTGGCATGCAAGGAGCTGAGGGATGGAATCAAATAAAAAATGTAAAAAGCAGCATTCAAACAAAACAAAACAAAATGTTTAAAGCAACACAGTGCATGACGCAAATTAACTTTTGGGTGGTAGGACGAAGTGGAAAATAAAAATATTCTGGCACAGGATGGCTTCAGAGTGCGTCATAGTAAAATAAAACAAACGACGTATCATTTAGAGTATGAAAGAGTGCATTAATTCTCTTGGAGTGCCAAAATTCATTCAATGTACCATTATAGACAAACATCATTAACTGGATCACTCTAAGAGAGTTAGCCCATTTCCATAATATGGACTCAAGAAACCATTTACTCATCAAGTAGATCTAACAAAAGATTGGAAAAAAGATTACTTCTACAAAACACTTGTTCTAGGTCCTCTGTAAAGAAATATTTCATAAGACACTGATTTTGTTCACGTGTAAATATGCATCCTTTCATACTTTTTCTGTGTAATAAGGGTAAAATTAAATAAGCATGAAACTAAAAATAGCCAACTGATTATCATCTTTAATGGAAGTGATAATATTCACAATCCAAATTTCAGGGACTTAAATATCATTCTGATGGTTTCAGAATGTATTATAAGGTAATGGATTAACATTTTCATTACAGTCAAACCTCATTTGTCAGTCTCCCATCTCAAACAATTTGGTTTTCCACCAAGTTGTTCACAGACAAAATGTCTTGGTTGTCAAACCAAACTTCTGGTTTTTGATCTGACAACCCTGTCATGCTGATACCTCAGCATGACAAAAAGCTTCTCTCAGGCAAGGAACAAAAGAGAAAATGCTTTTGTTGCTAGGGAAGCCAAGCATTAGCATAATTTTAAAACATAAAGTGGCCTCAAGAAGCCTAATATTGCTAAGGTTATGAAAGAAGCAATGAGCGCAGGCAATGGAAGAGGTATTATAGAAGAACTGTTGCTGATTTGGATAAAGGAAAAGCAGCCAGTGACAGCATTTCAGAGGAATGATATGTAAACAAGCAAAGATGCTGCATGCTGACCTGAGAGACATCCTTGGACCAAATGCTAAAAGTGATTCCTTTAAGGCCAGTAGGGGATGGTTTGACAAATTTAAGATAAGAGGTATTTATTAATAAATCAAATAGTACATTAGACATGCACTATACCGTATTTTCCGGCGTATAAAACGACCCCCCTAATTTTACAGTTAAAACACAGGTTTAGGCCTATATTCGCTGTATAAGACTACCCCCCACTTCCGAGGCAACACCAGTTCTTTTTTTAATAGACCGCCTCTCTGACTCTGGCCAATCTGAGCAGGCTTTTTTTCGTTTCAAAAATCATCTTACACGCTGGAAAATATGGTATATCTATATATCTATCTATACATATGAAGGTTAAAATGAAATCATTTCGGGGTCTGGAACAGATTAATTGAATTTATATTATTCTTAAAGGGAAAGAATGATTCAGGTTTTGAACAAATTGCTCCTTGAACAGCCTTCTGGACGAATTAAGTTCGAGAACCGAGATTCCACTGTACTTTGCATTATTTGGGTACCCACTAGCCTGTAAATGATTGGGGAGTTAAAATGTTTGATTCATAATTAGCAAGTAGATAATTTAGCTGTCAGTCTTTATATACTAATCAATACAAATATGAATTTAACATCAATTGGTAACCATGGGAATTCATGAAAGCGTATGGAGCACACTACTAGAATAGCATTATGGATTTCAAAGCATGTCAATTCTTCTCATCCAGCTCTTAATCAATCCCAAGTTTCCAGTGCTTACCCATGAACTACATCAGAGATCAGCCACGCTAACATTTTTGGGTCTCTGACACACAGGACAGGCCACTGTGCTGGAGGTGCAAGGTCAATGTCATCAAAAAATAACTAGGAAGACCCGCTGGCTTCTTCAAAGTCACAAACATCCTTCTGCTGGCCCTTTGGTGATGACATGACCTGTTAAATACTCCTCTGGCACCTGACACTTTTTAGTGACGCTTTACAATACATGTTCGATGCATGGACAGCTTCCCAGCTTCCGTAATGCGCGTGCTCTGGAAGGTCTCAGTGCAGACCTTTACCAACTTATCTGAGCCTCCAGTGGAACACGGGTGGCTTTACATGTCCTTCAACTTCTGACCCCGGCAGAGGGCCAGAAAGGGCCACCCATCATTTCCCATATTCATTCTGATCTGTTTGGGCAGGCCCCCAAGCACAGGCAGCAACACATCTCAGTCTCCCACGTGCCTCTGCCTCATTCATTCTGCCATTTCTGGCTGATCAACCACATCACACCAACAGCTGGATAGTTACTTTTTTACTGGTCACATCTGCTCACGGGCCAATTAATTCTGGGGCAGGATCACTCCTGCATGTACTGTGAAAGATGGAATAGTTTCTTTAAGGCAGGGAGGACAGCAGTAATTCTCTCTCTCTCTTATTTTTTTAATATGTTTTATTAATTTTTTACAGAGAAGAAGGGAGAGAGATAGAGAGCTAGAAACATCAACCAGCTGCCTCCTGCACACCCCCCACCGGGGATGTGCTCTCAACTAATGTACATGCCCCTGAATGGAATCGAACCTGGGACCTTTCAGTGCACAGGCTGATGCTTTATCCACTGAGCCAAACCAGCCTCAGCTCTCTCTTTTTCTTTTCTTTTCTTTCTTTCTTTCTTTTTTTTTTTTTTACCAGATGTTTCCTGCATGGTTTGTCTCCTCAGTCATTGTCCGCAGGACTCTGAGAAGTTGTAGGAATATGCAGGTGCAGACTCAAGGCCTGGCTTTATCTCCAACGTTGTGGAAAGGGACTGTACGTCACGGGACAGAGCCCTGTGCTCCCCTACGCCACCTGGATGGAGCCTGGGGAGAGTGGCCTCCCGGGGTATCCACGTTGAGAATTCTGTCTCTTTACAACCATGACCTGCCTGCAAAGGGTGATGCCACTTTCCAGACTCTCAGTGTGGCCCTCACATTCAGACCACAAGACTTGGATAATGGCAGTGTTTGCAGAAGGCTCATGAGGGGATGTCACTCCCCTGGCCAGCGTGGCTCAGTGGTTGAGTGTTGACCCATGAAGGTTTGATTCCCGGTCGGGCCATAGGCCCTAATTGAGGGCTCAATCTCCAGTGTGGAGTGTGTAGGAGGCAGCAGATCAATGATTCTCATTATTGATGTTCCCCCCCCCACCTCTCCTCCTTCTCTGAAGTAAATAAAAACATTTTAAAAAAATTTTTTTTAGCCCTGACTGGTGTGGCTCAGTGGATAGAGCGTCAGCCTGCAGACTGAAAGGTCCCATGTTCAATTCCGGTCAAGGGCATGTACCTTGGTTGCAGACACATCCCCCGTGGGGGGGGGGGGGAGTGTTCAGGAGGCAGCTGATCAATGTTTCTCTCTCATCAATGTTCCTAACTCTCTATCCCTCTCCCTTCCTCTCTGTAAAAAAAACAAAACAATAAAATATATTTTAAAAAAAATTTTAGAACAAAAGAGGGGCTCTTACGAAGGCTGACATTAAGACACGCACAGTAGAAAGAACAATACTGGAGATCAGGTCTCCACGCTCACTTGCCTCGCTCCGGAGAAAGAGATATCGCTGCGCTGGATGAAGACAGCCGCTTACTTATAGGAGAGTCCATCTGCTTTGGTAAATTCACACTTGATGTCGAAAGTTTCTCATATGCTGCAGAGAAACACAGTAAAGACATTGGTACATACACCACTGTAGACTGAGAAACACACACCCCAGCATTCTTCCATCCTAATCCACATGCCTTCAAAGGCACTGCGACACCGCACTGCTTCTGACATCCTCCTGTCTACCAATGTAGCCCACCTGCAGGTGCCCAGCCCCAGCGGCCTGCAGACTGAAGCAAGATCTTCTCTTCTACTTCTCCACTCTGTTCTTCTCCTTGATTTCATCCAACCTCACTCGACTGCCCAACTAAAGCCATGCTAATCCCACCAGCAAATCACTTACTTCCTTGTGGCCAGGGGTTTTTAGTCAGTATATTCAGACCACACGAAACCACCACCAATCTGGACCCAGAGACAAGTCAGCACCAGAAAATGTTCTATGGCCTGAGTACATGAGCGGGAACAGGACTTTTTCTGACTGCTGTCTACAGCTCGGGTTGGACAGAGGTCATCTGTCAGGCAGGGAGCTCTAGTTAGAGCAGAATCAGCTTCAGTAGTTGATTCCTTCCTCTTATCAGGAGATGAGGTCACAATGGCCTTTTCTCAGATGCTAGGATAGCTTACGGTTAGAATGTTAACATGTGGTCCCTGGTTTGGTGTTCTTAATTTCCAGCCATTATTTTAGAGTAGTTTCTAAATGAACCCGTTACAGTAAATGAAGCGGTGTGGATGGTGCCCTGCCAAGCCATATCGGAACCAAAGGCGACAGAAAAGCCATGTGCCCTGGCTTGAAAGGAAGCAAACTCACCAATAAGACTTTCAAAATCTACTCCTCTCCTGTTTTCAAATGAGAGAAATTCCATAGTTGATATTTCTTCTGATCAAGAGATGATCTTAAAACATTTTAAAGTCCTAGCCGGAGTGGATAGAGCATCAGCCCGAGCACTGAAGGGTCACAGGTTCAATTCAGGTCAAGGGCACATACCTCAGTTACAGGCTCAATCCCCAGCCCTGATGGGAGTGCATGCAGAAGGTAACCAATCAATGTTTCTCTCTCTGTCTCTCCCACTCCCTTCCACTCTCTTTATTTTTTACTTTTATTTTTTTAATACTTTTAAAATATATTTTTATTGATTTTTTTACAGAGAGGAAGAGAGAGGAATAGAGAGCTAGAAACATCGATGAGAGAAAAACACAGATAAGCTGCCTCCTGCACACCCCCCACTGGGGATATGCCTGCAACCAAGGTACATGCCCTTGATCAGAATCGAACCCGGGATCCTTCAATCTGCAGGCCGACACTCTATCCACTGAGCCAAACCGGTTTTGACCCTTCTATTCTCTTTAAAAATCAATGGAAAAATATCTTCTGGTGAGGATTAACAAATGAAAAAAACAACAACAATTTTCATTGACTTCAGCTGAAGTCAAATTCCAATAAATTCTTGTTTTGGTATAAATACAATATTTAAACTTACAATCAATTCTGGGTGTTTTAAATCACCCCCTTTTCAATTTTTAGTATTTTGGCAAGTACTCTATGTTCTGAAAAATAATGAACTATTAGCAATTACATGAAGTTATGTATCTAGACAGGGGTACACATGTCTTCCTTTGCCTCAGGCTCCAACATGGTTCCACATGACAATGGGCTTTAGGAATTGGATATTTTGTTCATCATGAATTGCTATGCATTAATTTTGATTAAGATATTATTTTATCTGGATATTGTGAGATTTCTGGTGCTCCCTTAAATGGTGTGCCCGAGTTGAGCACACTTGCCTCACCCTGATCGGGACCCTGTGTGCGATTCACAAGGGTTAGTTATCGAGTCTGCCTGCCCCTCTTTGTCCAGGGAAGGTCAGGGCCCACACTAATGCAGCAAAACCTCCGCTGCTCAGTCACACTAAGAAAGGCTCTTCTTTAGAAAAGGGATGTTGGAAAGCAAGGATAGTTATGCCTACTGCTCTACACTGACCTTGTGCCTGGCTATTAAATAGTGCGTCCCTTTTACCTCTTGTTTTCTTTGCCAGCCAAAGAGGGGTGGAATACCTAAAGTCATTATTATTAAATAAGAGCAAAGTGTTGCTAATTCTGTTCTTGATCTAGACCCTGGGCAGTTCCCAAGCCTCTATCCAAAGCAGAGAGCTTATTGGACAGGTGAAGTCAAGAACGGAGCCCACTGATCGCCTGGTGTGGATCCCCAGGGTTAGTGCTGATGAACCAACTCCCTGCCACTCCCTCTCCACACCTCTCCAGAAATCCATCACATTCACACCCGGAATTCGGTGATTAAGCAGAAGTGACTGGCACACAATACGACTTAATGCCCAAACGGATGATTAATGAGAGTGTGAAAGCTCTGAGCGCACAAACGTCAAACACTGACAAGATTTTCAAAGCAGAAGTTAGTGAGCCAAGAATGATGACATGTCTCCAGGGCAGGAGGATGAAAGGCATGCACAGCTCTACGGTGACAGAGACAAAGAAATATGAGCATGTCATTCACATCGCTAGAAAAAAAAAATGCTCTAACGGGTCAGGCTAAGAAATCAATCGGAAAGGTGCTTCAGACAGACATGGCGATGGAGGAGGATGATCAGTAGAGTCATCACAAAATGCCATGGCATGGTGATGCTCGCATATACCATTGGTGGACTCGGAGGCGGCAGGGGTCTCTGGATCCGGAGGAGGGGTGTTGGCCGCTAAACCTAGAGGAGGGAGTGGAGTATTTTCTGATTCACCTACACAGCAAAACAAATCAGAGCAGAGAGAGATCAAGGAAAAGTCCCACTTTGCGGTTGACTTAGTTCCTACTTAGGAAACCAGAAAAAGTCACAGAAATGGGCTGACTTCTCATAAACAGAAAAACAACAACAGTATATTCACTGATAAGAGGTCAAATGCACAATTCAGCAAAGACAAGAAACTGTGATACAAATGGAAATCCGTCTGCTTTCAGGAAGAGCTATGCCACACATCCTACCCTGTGGAATAGGATGGCAAGAAGTAAGACGCTGAAGGGGGAAAGCCACCCAGACTGGTAACAATCCATACAGCAAATTAAAGATCTGAACATTTCACGTGAGGGTGAACTGAATAATGAGATAAATAAACCATCTTAAAACAAAATAGAGCAACAAGAATTTAATAACGAGGAGGGAGAACCCCTTTCCCCCTTTTTAGAGGCAACTGCTGCCCAATCTCTGTGGGTTGCACTGCAGCAGTGACTTAGCCTACTGCCGCTGAGCTTCCCGGAAATCAGATTGCCCCGATGCTTGCTGGGCGGATCTGCTCAGCAGGCTCTGCATTCACGTCCTTTGCTTTCCTTTGCGTTACCTCACAGCCCAGTTATTGTATCATCCGCTGCCTGCTAGCAAAAGAACGCAGCTCCCCTTCACGAGACACACATGCACAGGAAGCTTGGCAGTTTGAAACGTCACATCTGGAAAAGGTATCTGTAGATTGGGACTGAGCATCCCCCAGCCTCTGTAGGCTGCACCCCCAATCTTCCGCCCGCCCTGGGGCCCTGCAAAGCAGGGACAGCCCGAAACTCACCTTCAAGTCCTCCAGGCCCGGCACTGACTGCCTGGGATGCTCCACCCCAGCTTGCTGGCGAGGCTCCTCCCCAGACTGCCGGAGATGCCGTAGCTCCTCCCCAGGAGTACCTCTTCTTCAGCTCCAGCTGCTGTGAGCGCTCCAGGGACCTGCGCAGCATAGCCTCCAGCCGCTCCTGCCCCGATTGCGTGGGAGAGAGCAAAATTAACACGAGCCTCAGTGCCGGATGAGTCACCAAACGGGGCTCTGTGCTCAGCATCCGAAGCCCAGACGCAAGTGCTCTCTGCCACATGGAGCCTTCTCCGTGGGGGGAGGGTAAACAGTGCGGCTGGTGTGATCCCAGACCCAACCCCTCATCCCTGGGGCAGGCTGTGCAGCCAGGCCTGGATGTAAGAATAATGCTAGACAAGTATTAACTCCTTGAGGCCCATCTCAAGCCCTGGTTTGTTCCACCCCCTATGCCCTAGACCCAACCCAATGCTCTCTAGTTGAAATGCATAAAGCAGCCGGATTTGAGAACATTTAACTTAAAATATAATTTGTATGTTATAGCCTTAAGCCTAACGTGTTTGGGGTGCTACTTGACTGTGAGGTTTATTTTGCAAAGCCCCGTTGTCATCTTAGAATTTCTTAAAGGGGGATCAGCTGTTTTCTAAATGGCAACACTTTTCTGCTCTATAGTTTTCTGGGGATAATGCTACGTATTTCAAAATGTGAGCGAGATAAGAGGGGAGGAGCTTCTAGCCACAAAATAAAGCATCTGTGCCTTCTCAGAGTTGGATGGGAGAAAGGGAGAATTCAACAGTTTTCAGCCAGAAGCGAAAAGCACCCAGGCTTCTCTGTCTCGTCAAGAGCATTTATCAAAAGCACTCTCCTGTATTAACCCGACTGTCACTTTCAGAAGGTTGGGCCTCACTGCTGGCAAGTGTTTCCTTGGCACTGGAGGCCCAATTCTATACTCCTCACTGCCCAGTGATGCTGCAAATCCCAGCCCTCTCCCCACCTCCCCATGGAGAAGGCTGAAGCAGAGTAAACAGTTAGGCCGACACCCTTTTGCCCTCATAAACCCACCCTGGGGTGCTCCAGGAACTGGGATAATCTTAGTCTCCCTCCAAACAAAAAGATCCCCTTTTCTCCTGGCTTAACTAAGCAAGCCAAATTAATTCAGGGCAGCACCAACTCAGTAAGTGAGACTTAAGGATTAGGAACAGCCCCCTTATTTTACTCAGTAGAATCACAGAAAACAGTCACTTAAGAGGCGCCTTGACCCATCCTTTGCCTGCACGTGAGGGGTAAATTGAGCATTCGCCACATCTTGGCCTCCTCTGCAGAATTTCTCTCTGAACAACATTTCGCTAAGAGACAGCCTTTCCAGGGACCTGAGAGCTGAGAGGTGATTTTTCCCTCCTGTAAATCTCAGATTTGAATTTGCTCTGGTTTCTGGCTAAGACCCCACGATCGTGAGTGTGCATTTTCTGGCAGAGTCCTATCCTCATGACCTGGTGGGGGGGGGGGGAGGGATCTATAAAATTGTGACAGCCAACGCTCGGGGTCTGTCGGAAAAAAGCTAGGGGCATTGAGGGACATAACATCTTCACTATTTGATGATTGAGGTATGATTGCTCAGACTGAGGCTGAGTAGTATTTCATTACATGGGTTTAACATATCTAATCAATGGCCTAATTTAAGGGCTGAAACCCTGTACCACAAAGTACATTTAGTATTTAGTGGGTAATGGGGGATTTCCCACATGCCAGGACCTCACAGGGTAGCCCCTCATGTACTAGGCCAGTGGTCGGCAAACTCATTAGTCAACAGAGCCAAATATCAACAGTATGACGATTGAAATTTCTTTTGAGAGCCACATTTTTTAACTTAAACTTCTTCTAACACCACTTCTTCAGAATAGACTCGCCCAGGTCATGGTATTTTGTGGAAGAGCCACACTCAAGGGGCCAAAGAGCCACATGTGGCTCATGAGCTGCAGTTTGCCGACCATGGTATGTGGCCAATAAGAAGAAAGAACACTAATACTCTTCAGGCCCACCTTCCCACCAAACAGCTATCTAGGGGCATAATCAGAAGGGAATGATCACCCAAAGCCAGGCCTACTCTTTGACTGTTCAGTTACCTTTAGAAAAAATTCCTCTCCATCTACCCTCAATCCACCGAGGGGCTCCAAGTTCCACCATTAGAGAGCCATTCCTGTGAACTGTTTGTAGGCTTATGAAAATGAAGCTATCCCTGAGAGAAGACACAATCACTGTGTGTCACCCACTTTTGGAGAGATGATGAAAACTAGGTAGTAACCAAGCTCTGTAGTGAGAGGATCTATAGAACCCAAAGTTGTCAGAATGGGATGACTCAAACATCCACAAACAAACAAACTGGTTCACTTCACTTTTCTTAAAGATTAGTTTACAGAGGTCATTATTACTCAGTGTGTATCTTTCTGTTCCTTCATGTGATGGAATGGAAAGATGCCTAGATTTTGGAGTCAGGAGATATGGATTCTAATCCCACCTCTGACTGCTACTTTTTAGCCCTGTCGCCTTAAGTTGATTGTTTTAACATCCTTGGATATCAGTTTCCTCATCTATAAAATGGGGATATTATCTATATCAGCAGACCACTCAAGTCTACAAGATAACTAGCATAGGAAATCCTCAGCCGATGCTAACTGAATGTGAATTTACAGAGGAGGTTATTGACAGGGCAGTCTGAGCAGTGGTTCTCCAGCCAGATTGGGTCCCTTCCCAGAGTCCCCTGTGTGCTCGTTAGAATACCATGGCTGGGCCCCACCAAAGCAGCCCTGGGCGGAATCTGCTGAGGGTTTGCATTTCTGACAAGTCAGTCCCAGGCCATGTCAGTGCTACTGGTCCTGGGGCTACACTTCCAGAAGCATTGGTCAGAGGGCAGGCTGAGCATGAGAGCGCATTTAAGAACGTTCCATCACAACAGAAGAACAGTATTAATAAATATCAGAGCTGCATACCGCATACTGCATTCCTGCCAAGCTCTGGTCCTCCTCATGGTCGATAGAGGATGGGGAAAGGGCAAGGCAGATTCTTGTGCCTAGAATGTCCTCTGTTGGGTGGGGCTGAGTAGAAGGAAAGAATAAGACCTCACCCTTGACTTCTTAGCTCTTGCCCTAGATCTGCCTGGATGAACTCAGAGGAGAATCATGACCAAGGTGACTTGCTGATCGGGCCTAGCAGGATAAAAGGACTCTAGCAGGGCCCGGCCTGGGTACCAATACCCAGACGGCCAGCTCTGGCAGGAGAAGAGGACTGGCATGCCTTTTCCAGTGCCCTTACTACTCGTGTTCTGGTGATGACAGGTGGACAAGCTCCCAAATGGTCCCCAGCAGAGCTCCGTAGAGGGTCTCTCTCTCCAAACAGACGTCCACCTCTGACCAGAAAGGCCATGCAGTCACCATGGGCCCACAGTAGCAGTGGACAGCCCTCGGCTTAGTGAAGTTTTATTTAGGTTGGGTTGAGAAATGTGTCTTTTTTTTCTTCTTTTAAATCCTCACCCAAGGATATTTTTCCATTAATTTTTAGAGTGGAAGAGAGAGGGAAAGAGAGAAATATCGATGTGAGAGAAACACACTGATTGGTTGTGCCCCAACCAGGGCCCTAGCTGGGGAGGAGCCTGCAACCATGGTACGTGCCCTTGACTGGAATTGAACCCAGGACTGTTCGATCCGCAGGCTGATGCTCTATCCACTGAGCCAAACTGGCTAGGCAGAAATGTGTTTTTCTTAGACTCAGCCTGATGGGTCTTGTTAGGTATTAATCAATATCACAATAAGTTGTGATGTGTCCGAATACCTTACAGAGATGAAGCTACTCATTGAGAGAGGCCTTTCTTAGCACGAGAAACATGGAGTTGGCTTTGCCAGGCTCCATTTTCCGGGGCCTCTGGTTAGGAAGCCATCCCTCCCAAATGGAGAATGGGTGACCACAGTGTGCTGTCAGCCCTACCCCAGGGAGGTGGTAAGGACTTGTTCCAGAAGCTCCAATCTTGGGGGGGGGGGGGGCATGAGAGAGTGGGAGGAGCCTGCCTTGAGGAAAAAGTAGCCTCCAGTCCTCCTGATCCCCAAAACCCCTGGGAACCAGGCTGTCTGTGGTGCCCACCTGTTTCCTGGCAGACGGGAGGCCCCCTGGCTGAGTCTGGGGCTCACCCATAGAGATATGAAAGGTCACCAAGAGCAACATCATGGCAGCCCATCACGGCACCAGGTCAGGGCTGGAGGGAGGTGGGGAATCATGGGATTTTTGTGAGCTCCTAATATCAGACCCACAGAGGCAGGACTTGGTGGGCAACTCAAACACTTTCCACTGAGCTAGAGGCCAAAGGGGCCGCTGTGGAATGGAGCCCTGCAGAGGCTTCTCCTGGCGGACAGAGGCAGAGCAGGACAAAAAGAACCGAAACCTGCCCCTGGCAAGAAGAAAGGAGAGTCTCCACAGCCGTGTTCCAAGAGGCAGCGCCCGCCCAAAGCTCTCCAGGGACCCAGGGGGCTGTGCGCAGAGGGTTTCCTTCGGAGAGGGGCCATCTAGACCTACCCATTCTCCCCAAAGATCACCCGGGCGAATCCCCAACAGGCCTCTGCACAGGCAGAGCCAAAGCCAATGTGGCTAGCAGGCCAGTCTGCCTGTGGATAGGCCCTAGGCTCCACTGGGCTCACTTGGGGTACCAAGGACTGGAGCGGGTGGCAGAGGGAGGCTGCCTTCCCTGCCTCTGCCTCGCTAGGTTGCTACACAACCTCAGGAGGCCCAGCTCTCAGCCTCGCCCTGCCGCCCTGGGTGTCTGGGGAGAAGGAAGTCAGCTTGGCTTGTGTTTATGCTGACCAGGGTCAGGCAGCAGCCCCTGCTCTCTGCCATCACCACATTAGGGATGAAAGGGAGCGCACAAAGCAAATAAAAAAAGAGCCGGCTGTGCAACCGCTCCAGATTTGGCTGCATCAGGACCAACCATCTGGCATGACATTCCCTCATCTGCAAGAGCGGGGAGTCAGAGCCTAATTTCAAATGCTGCTGGCGCCATCCTCAGTGAGGAAAATTACAGACAGGGAGCCTCAATGGTGGACCCTGTGACACGGCCAGGTGTGTCCGGAGCTCGGGAAGTGTCTCCCGTGACTTCACAGTGCCCCTTCGTGGAAGCAGGAGTGACACACTTGCTCTGGAGTCAGCACGCCCACCAGATGCCAGGAATCAAAGCAGCGAGGGTAGGGAGGAGGGGGCAAGCTGTGAGTCAAGCAATGGAGGACGGGAAGAAAACGGGAGTCCAGTGACTCATGACCAATATGCACAAGCAGGAAAAGGAGAGATCTGGCCCAGGTTACTGAAGTGGGCCAGGGCACGGGGGCTTTTTTCTGAGTCTATAGACTTTGCACCATAATCTTTTCTGGGTGGCTCCCTCTTTGACCTGGCTTCAGCCCAGGTAGGCTGAAGTCGCTGGAGGGAATCAAACATTTCTGAGCATTACCCTGTGCTGGGTGGGAACTTGCACCAATGTCACTTCCTTTCATTCCCATGAGCACCTCTGCTTTGTGCTAAGAAGGCTGAGTGGGGGGTTATGAGAGGCTGGGGCTGGGCTTTACATCAGGAGCAGGTGAAGCCACACAGTGGTCAGGCTGCAGCCAGCAACAGCGAACCACGGCTAAGACCCTGGCTTAGACCTTCATTTGCCAAGAGGAACAAAGAAATTGCCAGGTAAGCAAGTGTTTGGTGGGCAAAGATGAATGTAATTTTGTGTGTGTGTATGTGTGCATGTGTTCATGTTTTTTAAATTAAAAAAAAGAGGAAAGGGTAAAGATACATCATGATAAACCCTTCAGATATTTAAAAAATGCTGAATTTACCCAGCCAGCGTGGCTCAGTGGTTGAGCGTCGACTTATGAACCAGGACAGTGGTCGGCAAACTCCTTAGTCAACAGAGCCAAATATCAACAGTACAACAATTGAAATTTCTTTTGAGAGTCAAATTTTTAAATTTAAACTTCTTCTAATGCCACTTCTTCTAAATAGACTCACCCAGACTGTAGTATTTTGTGGAAGAGCCACACTCAAGAGGCCAAAGAGCTGCATGTGGCTCGAGAGCCGCAGTTTGCCAACCACTGAACCAGGAGATCACAGTTTGATTCCTGGTCAGGGCACAAGTCCAGGTGGTGGGCTCGATCCCCAGTGGGGGGCATGCAGGAGGCAGCAGATCAACGATCCTCTCACATCATTGATATTTCTATCTCTTCCTCTCTCTGAAATCAATAAAAATATATATTTAAAAAATACTGAATTTATAGGAAATTTCTGTATCCTACAGTATTGGCAATTAATAAACCCCTGTGTTGTTCATACTAAATGATGAGTCATTATACCTTATGAATAAAAGATGATCATCACCTGATACAAGGCTATGACTACATCCTTAAAATATACTTGTTACGAAAATCTAAACCCCCAAAATGCTTTCCAAATGGGGTAATTATATTCCATTTCTTTTTAAAAAGGTAACGAGAGGAAGGATGATTAAAGCAAGGAACTGCATTAAAATATACTAGCATCTTTGGCTTTAAAGCCAGACCATTTGATTTTTTCCATCGGTGAATAGCAGGATCAAGTTCTCTTCTGCCCTCACAGCCCTTCCTCAAGTCTGTAGGCTCAGACCCCCCCCCCCCAAACAGAATGCCCAGGTCTACATCACTTGGCCCCTATCTACAGTCCCCGCTGGGTCCTACAGTCAGAGATGGCTAGGCTGGAAGGGGCCTTGGAGACTGCCAAATCCAACCCACTCACTTCAGAGACAAGCAATTCAAGGCCCAGAGAGGCCAAGTGGCTTGTCCAAGGTCACACAGCAAATGAACAACTGCATTGAATAGATAAGTCTCTTTGTTCCTAGTCTAGTGCATTACTGGACTTCCACTGTGTCGTGTGAAGCTGCTGAAAGATGACACGGTGAGCCACCCAGGAGAGAGCTTAGGAGCAGATCACGCTTGTGCCACAGAACTGGACAGGATGCGCAGGTTCCCTGAGCACCAAGGCCTGTCTGAGCTGCTCAGTTGAACATGGGGGTCCCAGAATTTTACCCCATCCTCCCGGAGCTTCTGCCTCCTCTTCTCTTCCACGGCAGCCCTCTTCTGGTTCTCCCGGCGCCGCTGCTCCTCTAGTTTGCGCCAGCGTTCCTCCATCTGCTTCTCGTACTGGATTTTGGCTCTTTTCTGCTTCTCCAGGAACTGTTGCTCTCTGGCAGCTGGGGGAAGAAAAATAACGAGAGGTGGCATCAGCAGCACACTTCACTGCTTGCTTTAAGGCCAACAATGCAGAAGCAAAAGTGAGACCAAAAACAAACAAACAAACAAACAAACAACAACAACAAAAACAGCCCAGTGGAAGCTCAGGCCGCAGTGACTGAGATGATGGATTCTGGCAGCTCTGCCACTAGCTGGGTGACCCTGGGCATGCTCACCATGCCATCTCTGCTTTGGCTTCCCCCTCTGTGACATGGGGACAGTCACGTTTGCAACATCACGGTGCTGTGAAGATGGAACGAGACAATGCATGGAAAAGATACAGGAAGTGCGCCTGCGCGTGGCAGTATGACTATCACTGCTATCTTTGAGTCAGCCTTGCCAGCTTGGTAAGCCAAACACTGCTGGGAAATAAGAACTGTAACGGTACGTTCACTCAAAACCCATTGACTGTGCATGCACCACTCAGCAAGCTAGGCAAGGGGGTACACACGTGAATGAGCTTGGCCTACACAAGACAATAAAGGGGTCTTAAGTCTACCTGGCCCAATCAGGGAAGGGTTCCTTGGAGGGGACAATACCTGAGCTAACCAGCAGGAGGCAGTCAAGAGAGAACTTGAGCTGAAATCGGTTTTGCTCAGTGGATAGAATGTCGGCCTGCGGACTGAAAGGCCCCGGGGTTCGATTCCGGTCAGGGGCATGTACCTTAGTTGCAGGCACATCCCCAGTGGGGGGCGTGGAAGAGGAAGATGATTCTCTCTCATCGATGTTTCTAACTCTATCCCTCTCCCTTCCTCTATAAAAAATCAATAAAATATATTTTTTTAAAAGAGAGAGAACTCGAAAGCTCCTCATTTATCAAAATTCGGGATGAGGAGGGGGATACTTTCTAAACACACACTTTCTCTCTACCTCAGGGCACCCTGTGGGGACATGCCCTACTTACCCATCTCCAGCTTGCAAGAGGTAAGACAACCGGATTCCCCATCTCAATACGGATGTCTCAATGGGCCCTTCTGGGAGCCCCAGAGAGAGAGCCTGAGTGAGCGCACACAGTGGGCACCCAGGAGGCGGGGCGGCCAGCACTTCTCAGGTTCTCACTCTTCATGCCACCCACAGCCCCGAGCACGGGGCCTAGAGCGCAGCGTATGCTCAACGTTTGCTAGCTGAGTAAAGGAGCTGTTTGGAGAATTATGTAATTGTAAATGCACCAATCACAGCATGAGTCCGCCCGCAATTCTCCACATTCATCTAACAATTGGCCTAGCTCAGTGGTCAGCAAACTCATTCATCAACAGAGTCAAACATCAACAGTACAACGATTGAAATTTCTTTGGAGAGACACATTTTTGAAACTTAAACTCTATAGCCAAAACCGGTTTGGCTCAGTGGATAGAGAGTCTGCCTGCGGACCGAAAGGGCCCGGGTTCGATGCCGGTCAAGGGCATGTACCTTGGTTGCGGGCACATCCCCAGTGCGGGGTGTGCAAGAGGCAGCTGGTCGATGTTTCTCTCTCATAGACGTTTCTAACTCTCTATCCCTCTCAATTCCTCTCTGAGTAAAATCAATAAAATATATATTTTTAAAATGTTTAAACTTAAACTCTATAGGTAGGTACATTGTTATTAACTTAATTACTCCTAAGCTGGCCTTTGCTAAAAACGTCCTCAATCTGACTGAGGTACACTCAAGGGGCCAAAGTGCCGCATGTGGCTCGTGAGCCGCAGTTTGCAGATCATGGTCCTAGCTCTCTTGCAATTCAGTCGCAGAGTTTTAAGGCTCTTGAAGAAAGATACAGCCGTCTCTCCACTTTCTTGGTCCTAAACTGCCAAAGTGCACAACTTACCCATAAACTTCTCCCTTTCTTCGCGTCTTTCCTTGGCTAGCCTTTGTCTCTCATCACATCTTAAGAACCCCTCCATGCCTGCAAGAGAGAAAACAGGATCATTTCTTCACTCCTTCCCCACCTGCTGGGCCCGCACCCTGGGTCTGGCCACACGCACAGCATCCATCATCATCACTTTGGCCTTGGAGGCCAAGTCCCTCACTCCCCACCAGACATAGCCCACCACACACACACACACACACACACACACACACACACACACACACACACGGGCAGCCCCAGAACTGAGGGGTGGCTGCAACAGCTGCCACACTTGCCCACCAACACCGATCCCAGAGAATCAAGTCCATGCCCTAGTCTTCTGTCCCAGGGCCTGTCCCTGCAGGCATCAGAAAGTGTAATAAATGGCAGGAGACCCACCAGGTCGCCCCTAGTCTGGCTCCCAGGGGAGGGGAGAAGCGGAAAAGTAGACACGATTATTACACAGAGTGAACCTTCTAGTATCTGGAGGGACCAACGGCTGCAGGACACATGCGAGCTCCTCAGATGAACACTGAGAACCACATGCTCAAGTTTTTGTTGTTGTTATTATTATCTTTTGTTAATCCTCACCCAAGGGTATTTTTTCCATTGATTTTTAGAGTGGAGGGAGGGAGGGAGGGAAGAAAAGGAGGGGAGAGAGACAGAGATACATAGATGTGAGAGAGACACATCAACTGGTTGCCCCCCACACCCACCCTGACCAGGGCTTGGGTTCGAACCTGCAACCCAGGTATGTGCCCTTTACCAGGAGTCAAACCTGAGATCCTTTGATGCTTGGGCCTACTCTCTAACCGCTGAGCTCACTGGCCAGAGTCACATGCTCAAGTTTGATTTTGGTTCTGAGAAGTTTGCCCTGATGTCAATCTCGGTATTTTATTTGTATTTGTTTTTTTAAATATATTTTTATTGATATCAGAGAGGAAGGGAGAGGGAGAGAGAGATAGAAGCATCAATGAGAATCATTGATTGGCTGCCTTCTGCATGCCCCCTACTGGGGATGGAGCCCACAACTCGGACATGTGTCCTGACTGGGAATGAAACCATAACCTGCTGGTTCATAGGTCGCTGTTCAACCACAGAGCCACACCAGCCGGGGCTCAATGTTAGCATTTTAGAATCACAAAGAAGCAATATACTCCTATTTGTCACTTAAATAATTACAAAAAATAAAATGGGCTGAAACCGGTTTGGCTCAGTGGATAGAACATCGGCCTGTGGACCAAAGGGTCCCAGGTTCGATTCTGGTCAAGGGCATGTTCGATTCTGGTCAAGGGCGGGCACATCCCCAGTGGAGGGTGTACAGCTAATCGATGTTTCTCTTTCATCGATGTTTCTAACTATCCCTTTCTTTTTCTCTCTGTTAAAAAATCAATAAAATATATTAAAAAATAAATAAGTAAAAATGGAACAAATGGCAGTTAACCCCATGCTTCCCCCCACCACACACACACACACACACACATAGATGTCCAGGGAGCACCCCAGGAGCTCCTGTCATCCATTTTCTTTCTTTAAAAAATTTTAAAATTAATTTTTACAGAGAGGAAGGAAGAGGGATAGAGTTAAAAACATCGATGAGAGAGAATCATTGATCAGCTGCCTCCTGCACACCCCCCACTGGGGATGTGCCTGCAACCAAGGTACATGCCCTTGACCGAAATCAAACCCGGGGCCCTTCAGTCTGCAGGCCAACGCTCTATCCACTGAGCCACACCAGTTAGGTCTCCTGTCATCCATTTTCTACAGAAACCTAACAGGCTTTCTAAATCAAAGATGAAATGATCTTCGCTGTTCTTATAGAATGGGAAATAATTTACTGCACTAGGCCACCATTGGTCATTCATGAATATTATTTATCCAATGTCCCAGCACAACATTGGGAAGCAATAGGCTTCAGTGTTAGCACAACCATCGGCTTCCTAGTTCCTGAACCCACCTCTCTGGTGACATCACATGTTGATTCCACAGTGCCAGTTGCCATGGAAACCTGTGCCCCACCCCTCTCTCTTTCTGGAAGGTTCCTATACTGTCCAGGAAGGACTGAATAGGGTCTGGGCTACAGAGTAGGAATGTGAACAAAGACAAGGATGGATGAGGCAAACAATAGGTTGTCACGATTCCCCACCAGCAACTGCTATTGAAGCCTAGATTACAGAGAGGGCAAATCGGTGCTTTTTAAGAGACAAACACTAAAAAAAATCAACCCTGGACAAGTGCCACTCTCCATGTTTGGTTTCAGTCAACGTAATCGATGCTACCAACAACATGGATGGCATCAATAATTTCAAACCCCCCCCCCAATAAAATAAGTTTAAGGCCCAATTTCTCAGCTCTTTACTGCTGGCCCCCCACAATCAAACCAAAACACTCTTTCCCAGCTTGACCTCGGCACTGCCCCTTTCTCCCACACACCTTCCAACTAAAACTGCCCCTTCTCCCCCACCCCCTTCATTCTGTTTGGTTGCTGTGTTATCCTCTAACTCGGTTTCCATGGGAACAGAGAGGCTACTGAACCAAGGTGGCTTCCACATTTCTGGGTCACCCAGTTCAGGCCACTGTCCCGTCCTCTACAGTAGCCCCGAGATACACACACAGTGCTCACAGGTAGGCATGTAGGAGAAGGAAGGGAATCAGGGAGATAAAACCACATTTCTCTTTTCTCTACATACGTTCAGGGTCTCATCTCTACAGCAAGAGTCTGACTAGTACAAATATGTTCTGTGTGAAAAACCGCAAAGGGAAGCTGAAGAGCCTGGATAGATGCTTGTGCCCTCCCAAGGACACACGTTTCTCTGTATTGCCCACACCACCTTCCAGGTGTTAATGGGCTTGCCCCATATCTGAGGTAGAGCCCAAGAACTACTGAGTGTTCTTTAAACAGAAGAAAGAAAAAGACGGAGGGCAAAGGGCCAAGCACATTTGAAACTGGCCACCTTACCTTGAGGCTTTAGGAACAGATAGCTGGTTTTTCCGAAGACATACATGATTTCAGGCTGCCTCCTAGCGGGCACTTGTAAGAGTCACACCTTCAAATCACAGCCAATACCTGTTATGATGCTCAGCGTCATCACCACGCGTTTCATCATAATAGGAGATGACAACAGAGCAGTTGCTATGGACCAGCGCACTGCTTGGATTATTGTCATAACAGGAGGTGACAACAGAGCAGCTACTATGGACCAGTGCACTTGGGATGGCTATCATGATCTTACAGGTGCAGAAAGGGAGGCACAAAGAGGTTCATTAACTTGTCTGAGATCACACCATCAGAAGTGGAGAAGCCAGGTTTCCAATACAAGAACCCGACTCCAAGACCTACATATTTTCTTTTTTTTAATTTTTATTTATTGATTTTGAGATAGGAGGAAAGGAGGGAGGGAGACAGACAGACAGACAACTTGTTGTTCCACTTATTTATACATTCATTGGTTGCTTCTTGTGTGCTTGACCAGAGATCAAACCCACAACCTTGGTGTACTGCAAGCATGTCAAACTCAAAGGCTAACACGGGCCAAATAAACAAGTTTATGTGGGCCACACAAAACACAAAAGCTTCCATTTTCATAGAAACGTAGGTTTATTTCGCTAGAGACATGCTGAAGACAAAGGCCTGAAACAAATCATTAACAAAATAATAGAACGTTTTAATAAAAATTAATATTTTTCTTAAACATTAACTTAACCAGACACTGAATAACTGCACAAATTAATAAGCGTAATGCAAATAAACCTATTTTTCTTGTTCTCCGAAAGCGAAATATTTACTTTTGTGCACATCAAGCAAGTTAATTCAAGACTAATGACGTGGCCATCAGCTGCTAAAATATTTGCTGCTGGTATTAGTGGAGAGAAATGGTGCGCCTGCGCATAAGGTGCATAAGGCAAATGAATGCAACAAGATTATAGTAATTAGTCATTAGCAAATGTTAGTTCATTATTAATAATGATGTATAGCAGGATATCGTAGATATTGTTATGGACTTTTTTATTAAAATGTTTCTTACATACCGTTATATTGGCTGGGCCACAAAAACATTCGTGTTTGACGTGCTTGATGTACTGGGACAATACTAACCAACCGAGTTCCATTGCCAGGGTCAAGACACACACACACAAACACACACACACACACACTCATTCTCTTTTTTTGAAAAAGCATATGAAGAGGATTCCCTGCTCCATGGCTTTTATTTTGATAAAAAGTCCTGTAAATCTGAATATCAAGCTAGAGTTACAACCGAATGTACCTCCCCAAGAAAGGATTTTGGCAAGTGCATCCCATGAAATGGATCACAATTCATATAAAAGTGGTGATGTGGAGAAGACACTCACTGGCATGCAGAATGCCAAACAGCTCTCCCTTCTATCTCATAGTTCATCTATTGAGTCCCTTTCTCCAGCGGGTGATTTATTTGGACTGGGTATCTTTAAAATTGGCAGTGACAGCCTCCAGCGAAGCACTTCTCTAGAAAGTTGGTTGACATCCTATAAAAGCAATGATGATCTTTTTAGCTGTCACAGCTCTGTAAGCATAAGCAGTGGCTCAGTTGGTGAATTGAGTAAAAGGATACTAGATCTCCTGAATAGTTTGGAGAATATCCAAAGCCCCTCAGAGCAAAAGATAAAGTGGTGTGTGTCTGTGTGTGTTCTATTCTTTAAAAAATATATATATTTTTATTGATTTCAGAGAGGAAGGGAGAGGGGGGAGAAAAACATCGATGAGAGTCACTTATTGGCTGCCTCCTTCAGGCCCCCTACTGGGGATCGAGCCCATAACCTGGGAATGTGCCTTTGACTGGAATCAAACCTGGGACCCTTCAGTCCACAGGCCAACGCTCTATCCACTGAGCCAAACCGGCTAGGGCTCCTGCCCCATTCTTGATGTCATGTTGCTTCCCAGTATAACCATATTCAGGTGATATACAGCCCTGAAATGGAGGCCTTTTCCTGGGCAATTCATCCCTACAGGAAATGAGAATGAAACTGGAATACCGAGCTGCTAAACAACCATTTTATGTTAACAGCATAAAATTCCA